TGTTCACTGAAGTCGCTGCCTGCCCTGCCTCTGTTAGGTCAGGTTTTAAGTGGATTGCCGTGGGAAAGCAGGGAGGGGTCTCTGGGTGGCAGAGTTTGGTTTCTCATTATTTTTCATCCAGAGCAGGGAGCAGGCAGGAGTCCTATTGGTAAGATTAGCTGATCCCTGAAAAAGGCGTTTTGCCACCCAAGACGCTGCTTTTGAGGAATCGTGGATAAAGGAGCAAGCACCCTCCTGCCTCCTTTCGTGAAGTCTTCTGAGAATCTCTCACGCTGAGACACCGTCTTCTTTCACTGACCCACCAAAGCGACAGGGCGCAAAGTGTTTCAGGGGGCGGCTGACACTGCTGCATTCCCTCGGCCCCCGCAGCCCCCCACTCGCCACACATGCTCCACGCAGGTGGCCCTGGGGCAGGGTCTCCGCCGGACGCGGTTCTGCTAACACCTCTCTCCCTCGACGCCCCGGTCCGCCCGGCAGCCTGGACTCCAGCCTGAGTGCTGATGACCCGGGGGACAGCAGCGATCCAGAGCAAATCTTCCAGAACATCCAGTTCCAGAAGGACCTCATGGCGAACATTCGCTGCAGACCCTGGACCATGGGACAGAAGCTGAGGGCACTGAGGTAAGGGCCTCCGCAGCAGCTTCCGGCGATGGCAGGCCACAGGGACACCTGTGGGGTCTGGCTGGCCCGGGCAGGGCCTCGAGGCGGCCCGTTCTTGTGTGTGTCTGCGTTGGGGGATGTGTGTTGGAAGTTTTGGGTCTTCTACCTCCTTTTCAAACACTAGATTTTAGCATTGTGTCTAGAGGTGAACAAAAGAAGGAGCCCCCCCTCACTCCCCCAAAGAAAAGTGTATAATGTTGTTGATGTAAGAAACATCCAAACCTGTAAAGAATTGTTCTAAGAGTTTATTGGAGCCAAATTGAGGACAGTCACACAGAACGATGGGCGGGGCTGGCTTAAAACCTTTCCCCGAGGGAGTTACAGGCCCCGGGGCAGGACAGCCGCCGCGCCCCGCCCAGCTGGGGATTCATGACCTTGCGCCCCTTTCCGTCCAGGATCCACACGAAAACATGTTCATCTTACCTGGCCGGCGCCTCCCCTTGGGGAGCTCTGCACGGGAAACCGCGTTTCCATGATACTAACAGCCCTGTCAGTCTGCTTAGGTGATGGCAAAGAGCTATCACCTGCATTCGGACACTGAGCGCGACCTCACAGGCGGCCAGTCTTGGACGTGGGGCTCTCGTCAGTGTGATACAGTGTCAGGCGAGGTCACCTGGGTGGTGACGCTCAGCTCTACGAGTGTTCGCCTTCTGTCTCCCGTGGCAGTGACATTGTGTCGTAACCCTGCAGTTCATCTCGGTGTGACTCCAACTCCTATCCTCCCAGTGAATTCAGAGCGATCAGCTCGTGTGTCACCAGGTCGTTGGGGCTGAATCAGGTTGTTCGTGGCTGTGTAGACACAAGTTTTTTGCTCGCAGTACCCGACACCACCCCGGCCTCAAAGCAGAGTCTCTGAGCCGGGTCTGGCTCTCTCGTCCAAAGAACCGAGTGAGGAGGGAGGGTGTCGTGATTCGGGGGGAGCCAGGATGCTGGCGCCCACCACCGGGGCTTCCCGACAGACAGACAGACAGCTCCCGTGGCATCCGGGAGGGCAACAAGGAATCCCTCGTGACTGGTTTGCGTGTTAACTCATCGTTTTGTGTGAATTAATCCATTTAAATGTTAAAAGAAAATACGTTTTCCCCATTTTATTGGGGAATAATTAACGTCCATCGCTGTACAAGGCATGCAGCTTGAGGGTCTGATGTACACGTACTGTGACATGGTCACCACGGCGAGTTCAGCTGACATCGTCATCTCGTGTGGATAGACTGTGACGCGGACTCTTAGGGTTTGCTCTTCCCCGTGTTCTGCGTGCCCCACGGCAGTGCTAAGTGCAGTCACCGAGCCGGACGTGACATCGCTGGTACCTTCCTGTCTTATGACTAGGAGTCTGTACCTTTCAACCCCCTTCCTCCCCCTCCCTCCCCCACCCCCACCTCTGATAACCCCAAGTCTGACCTGTCGGAAAATGCTTCCCGAGGGCGTGTTCCAGTGACCAGAGACCAGGAGCTGAGAGACTTGCAGACCGCCCCCTGCCCCGCGCCCAGCATTCTGTCCCATGTTGTTCGGCCACGGAGTCCTGTTGGATGTTCGCGTGCTTGGGCCAGATTAGAAGAGTGATGACTCATGCTCACTGCCACGTCTCTCTCCTCCCAGACGAGCGAAGGAGATCGTGCTGAAGTTTGAGGGTCGGCTGACCAGGACGCGGGGCTACCAGGCAGCTGGAGCAGAGGTGAGGGCGCACGCGGGCGCGGCCCCCCGGCCTGCGGTCTCAGGGAGTCGCACCTGTCACTGCAGCTGCCACGTCAGGTGTGCCCATCAGTCATGCACAGCCGGATGGTGGTATGGTGAGCTGCCGGGTCTGCATGTCCCAAAACGTGGCCTTTAGTCCCCAGTACCGTCACTTACCGTTCGTGTGACCCTGGCTAAGCCTGACTTCTCAGAAACGGATGTCTCCCCGAGGGCACGATCTAGCATCTTGCTTGGCTTAATCCCGTCCGTGCAGATTGGATTCACGGTGTCTCTTACGGTGAAAAAGCGACAGGCCTTTTCCAGCCCCATTTAACACAGCGCTGAGGTGTGTGTTTCCTGCTTCTCCCGTTCAGCTACTTAAAGCTAAACTTCAGTATATGTTGAAATTACCTATCTGTAAAGACAGTGCAACAATTTTCATCACTGTTTAGAAGACAAAGAAGTCACATCCCCTTTTTCAGCCGCCTCTTCCGAGTACAGTGTATGGTTAGGAATCTCACGGCTCAGTCGCTGAGTGTATACTCTTCACGTTGGAGTAATTGTGCAAACAGTTCGCCTTCCTTCCCTTACTGGCACCGTACCTTCAGGATCGTTCCATGTTGCTGAGCGGTGTCCGGTGCGGAGTCTCCTCGGCAGAGTGAGCGTTTGGGCCGCCCAGCCCAGGGCCCTCAGTCGAGCCCCCGAGGTGGTGGTGGGGTCTCTGCGTCTCCGCCTGCAAAACCCGCACTGCTTTACTCTGTGCCGTGCGTGGAGATCCCCACGCAAGTCGGGGTTCAGGAGCAGCTGAGCACCACTGAGGGGATTCTGCCTCCGGTAGGATGGGGGATGGCCTCCCCAAGGCAGGAAAGAGCTCCTTCCCGGGGCACAGAGCAGAGGGCCTGGGCCGGGGCCACATCGCAGGCCTCTGACCTTCCTCCGCCCAGTGCCTGTTGCATTTGGGACCAGCGGTGGCCTGAGTCACCAGTGCTGTCCAGCCCCGGGCCCTCCCCGGAGAGTGCTGGAGCCCCCGGCCCCGGACACCCAGGCAGGGCAGATCAGGAAGCGCCGGTCCTCCCCACTGTGCCAGGAGCGAGCAAGGGGCAGTGAGTGCCTGGGAGGACGCCATGGACCACACAGGAGGCCAGAGGGATGGCCGGGCGTTCATGGGCGAAGCGCCCGTGTCTGCGTGTGGGGGGCTCTGGGCCATCTTCGTGGGGTGGTGGCCCTTGAGCTGGGAAGAGCAACAGCTCCAGTTTCTGCTACAACCTGGATTCTCACAAGCGGCCGTTTGGCCCCGCAGACCCGTCCAGGATGGCACAACCCCACGTGTCCGCGTCAGGACCCTGTGCTGTCTCACAGTTGAGGACACTGTGGTTATATATGTGACCTCTTAGCAGAACTTCAGGTGGTCGGTGTCAGAACGGACAGCTGCGAGTCTCAGGGTCAGCCTCGGGCCAGTCTGCCCTGCTCTTCTTTGAGGGAAACAACAGGTGTTTGACCGTGTGGCAGTTGTGTGTCACACACACACACGTTTCCAGAGCTCAGAGAGGCAGCTTCTGGCAGGGGAGAGGCTGGCACGGGCTCCGGCTGCAGGGCGGGGGGCACCCAGTGGGCATGCCCATTTTCTGGGTACGCTCCAGACTTTGGTCCTTAAACGGAGGTGGGAACTGTAGTCACAGGGGTGCTGTGAGCCCTGTGTGTTCTGGGCCTGACTCCCAGAGCCGGGTCAAGTGGGAGCATTTGGACACCATTCCTCCAGCCTCTAGGCCCCAGGCAGGGGTGGTGGGGACAAGGCAGGCCGGGGCCCTTGGCGCAGACACCACAGCTCTGGGCCCGGAGCAGATGGGCTCACCTGGGCAGGAGCACAGAACGGACACGGTGGGAAGCTCTCTGATCCCCCTCCTCCTTCCAGCTCTGGCGGAGGTTTGCTCGCCTGGCCCATAACTTCGTGGTCATCTTCATTCCCTGGGAAATGAGGATAAAGAAAATCGAGAGTAAGTTGGGGCTTGGGGAAGCGGGGCGGGGTGCAGCCATGCCCACCGCCGGCGGGGCTGAGGAGAGCCTGGCGCGTCCTGGCCCTCACACTGGGCAGCCAGGGGCACGGGCACAGGGGTGCCGACCCGCGCTGGACGTGGGACGAGGGGGGCGGGGGGATGCGCGTCTGTCCCCACCTTCCCCAGGACGGGAACAGGCCCACATTCCGCTGCGGCTCATCAGCACAAACCAGGGAGGACCGAATGGAAAATGGGTGAATAACACTAACGTGGGCAACTGCAGAACAGACACAGGAGTCTGCATTTCCCAGCTGCTCCCTCACCCCTGCCCTAGAGGGTCCCGCACTGCAGATGCCAGGCCCACGCCCCTGGTCCCTGGAGGCGGTGACTGACTGCGGCTGCCCAGCCCAGCCCTCTGTCTGCACTGGACCGACTGCCTCTGCGGGGCAGCACCTGCTCCAGAGCTCCCCGTGGGCTCAGGCTAAGCCGGGCTCCAGCCCAGACCAGGTCCTCGCTCCGCCACCCCCACGCCTCCCCGCCCCTCCCTCCCCAGCCCCGTAGCCGGCCCTTTCTCAGGCTCTGCTGGGAGCCCTGACCTTGCAAGCTGCTGGTCACCATGTGACGGCCCCCGCCTAGCGAAAGGCTGGCAACTTTCCCCATGTCACGTCGTGGGGGGCCACCTGCACGAAGCATGGACAAGTCACATGATGGAGCAATGAAATTCGTTTTATAGAAAAACGTTTTTGCATGAAAAAAAATGCTTGTAATATAGCGAAAACTCACGACTCATGCTGTAGTGAGATGCCAGTTTTACATGAAAATTTATACCTATGCCATAGTAACGTAGGGTTACGCTAGATGTTTACTAGCAACTAGTTCTAGTGATTTTCATTTAGTGATCTTGGACTAGGTTTTTGTCGTTATTTTCTTCCTACTTATCAAAACAAACTAAATTTGAAAAATCGAGAGGTTATTTTTCTTTTAAGTGTAGGACAAATTCATCTGCTCCAGTAAGTCATCGAAACGTCACCCCTGTCCTTGTTTAACTTCTCTGCTGTCTTATTTTCTCTGTGCTAATTTGTTTTTAAATACACTTTTTATTTTAGAATGAATTTGCACGTAGAGAAAAGCCACAAGGACAGTTCCCATAACCCCTTCCCCCAGTTTCCCCTAAGGTCAGCACCTAGCAGATCATCTGGAGATGAAGGCCAAAGAATCCTTAGAGAAATTCTTGGAATTTCCAAAGTTATGCAAAATAAAAGAAAGATAAGTTCTCAAAACTTCTGAACGTACATAAAATGTCATAAATTCAGTGAAAGCATTGGAGATGAACAGGACATTGGGGAAATTTCTTAATTGGGGGCTCTTTCTGCACGAGACACTGGTGGGCAGTGACGAGCGGGTCGAGCCCTGCGATGGCCATCTTTGGGGGGACATCCCACCGGCTGCACGCGGGGCGTCGCGGATGAGGAAGTCACCGCGGCGCACTCTGCGGAGCCTCTCGCACCGCGAGGGTCTCACCCGAACTCTCTTTCTCGTTCCCTAGGTCATTTTGGGTCTGGGGTCGCGTCCTATTTCATCTTCCTGAGATGGCTGTTTGGAATTAATATTGTGCTGACGATGATGACGGGTGCTTTTATTGTCATTCCAGAGGTAAGTGCCATCCGCTCAAAGGACGGGGCGTTAGGGAAGCACCACAGAACGGCCACCCTCGCATTCCTTGCGAGGGGGCGGACGTGTGTGTTCAGACTCGTTCTGACGAGGACCAGGCCCTGAACGTTAGGCGTCGCGGGTCCTGCGGTTTGTCGGGGCTCAAATCCGCCGTGGGGGGGGGAGCAGCCACCAACAGTACGCACACGAATGCACGTGGCCGTGTCTCGGTGCGATCTTGGTGACAGATGCCGAAACCTGAGTTTCGTGTGATCCTTATGCGACACAGAATATTATTCTTTCGAATATTTTTCCCGAACATTTAAAAATGCAAAACCCATTCTCAGTGTTGGGCCATAGAAAGAGAGGCCACAGGCTGGATCTGGCCCGTGGGCCAGTTTGTCGACACTGGGTTAAAATAACAGCCATTTCTCAGCTAAACGTCACCCTCACAAAGCGAACGGGGCCATTCCCAAGCTGTTAGCAAGGCCGAGCAACATCAGTGAGCCAGCCGCAGAAGCCACTTTAGTCCAGAGAGAGGACACTCAGCCCGGCCCTCGCAAGGCACATGACAATCTGGCCTCCCGTGATTAATTGTCACCAACGAGGATCAAGCAGAAGTCCGCCCGCTAGAAAGCCGTTACGTGGAGCCTCTTCCGGGGAGCGGGGTGGGGCCAGCCGACCCTGTCCTCTGGTCCCCTCTGGTCCCTTCCCACCAGAGGGCCAGGTGACGTCCTCTTCTCTGTCACCAGCTCATCGCAGGCCAGCCCTTCGGAAGCACCGCCAGCAAGAGCATCCCCTCGGCCCAGGCTGCATCCGCGCAGGACCTGGACACCGTGTGGTCCCTGGGGGTGCGGCGAGGCGCGGCCACACGGGTCTGCCCAGCGGGGCGGGGTGGGGCGAGCGGGCGGCAGAGTGACCACCGGCGCCCCCTGCAGGGCTACCTCCAGTACTCGGTGCTCTTCTACGGCTACTACGGCAGAGAGCGGCGGATCGGCAGGGCCGGCTACCGGCTGCCCCTGGCCTACTTCCTGGTGGGCATGGCCGTGTTCGCGTACAGCTTCGTCGTCCTCTTGAAGAGGTACGGCCGCCCCTCCCTGGGGACGCACGCCAGAAGCCCTGTGCCTGGTCGTCGCATCCAGTCTTCTCGGGGACCCCCCGAAGCTAAGGCCTGATGGTGCCGCTTGCACAGACGAGGCCCAGGGCGGAAGAAGGTGCTTGTGCCCACCAGCCCTCCTGGGCACTCGCCTCTCTGGGCCGGCCTCCGTGTGGGTCCGGAGAGGCCACGGTCACGCAGACGGAGCAGGCCGTGCAGCTGGGGCCGGTGGAGGGGCAGTCACCCGCACTGGGCAGGGGCTCCACGCAGCCCGATTCAGCTCAGAGGAAGGACTTCATTTCACAGTCACAGCTTCGCAGATGATCGGCTCTGGCTCCCAGGCCCACATGCCGTCAGTGACCTCCAGGTCCACTGCAGTGACCGGCCACTGCCATTTCCACATGGTTCGGCAGGGGTGCTGAGGCCCCGCGTGGCCGAGTCATCCCGTGCTCTTGCCCGTGTGTCCCTGGGGGCAGCACGTCGGAGCCACACAGGGCCCTGGGGACTGGCAGCAGCCCCGCGTGGCCGGCCAGTCCTCATGCTGTCCCCATGCCCCTCCCCCGCCGCCTTTGCAGGATGGCTAAGAATTCCCGCACGAGCCTCGCCAGCGCTTCCAGCGACAGCTACGCCTTCTGCTGGCGAGTGTTCTGCGCCTGGGACTTCCTCATCGGGAACTCAGAGGCCGCGGAGAGCAAAACGGCCGCCATCGTGAACAGCATCCGGGTGAGCGAGGCCCGCGGGTCGGCGGGGCAGGCGCGGGCGGCCTGGGCTCTTCAGATCCCAGCGTGACAGCTGAGCCGCTGGCCCTCTGCCCACGGGCCCCAAGCCAGGGGACCTGCCCCAAACCAAGAACAGGGAGAAAATGTGGGAACTCCTCCTTGTTCTCCTTATTCCGTTCTCCTGAAGTTAGTTTGTCTTCGGTAATTTGCATGGTGGACGTGTGCCGGGCTGCGCGTAGGCAACCTGGACGTGAACTGAACACACGGACACGTGGGGAGTGGAAGCTTTCGGTGTTAACGCGGCCGCCGACGCAGTTAGAGCTTTCAGACAGGCAGCCGAATGGCGCCCCCTTCTGAGGAAAACACGTGTCTAGACGACTTCGCTTGTCTAAACAATTTACTCTGCCACGTCCTCTTCCCGCTCCCTAAATGCCTTTTTTACCTGCTTTTTATCACATGAAGCATTGGTACCGATAGAATCTTGCTATGAAGTCTAGGCAGTCGAGTCATGATTTAAAACGCTGGATAAATCGTTTCCAGTCGTGAAAAAGCGCTAAAGATTGACCGTCGTAGTGATGCTGAGCTCTGAACGCGTGTCTTTCCTTGCAGGAGGCCATACTGGAAGAGCAGCAGAAGAGGAGGAGCAGAAACCTGTACGTATGGAGCCGGCGTGTTCGGTGCAGCGCTCACCACTGCCTGCATGCTGCCTCCACCCGTGGTCAGGCGGTTCTCCCCCCAGACCCGTCCTCCACGCATGCGCCCTGCAGGAACCCAGAAAGTTTCCAACACCGGTGTTTGGGGGTACAGACCCGGACACAGACCTGAGGTCGACCGGCTTCCCATTCTTTTTCTGAGGTGTTAAAAGACAGATGTTTGGCACCACTTTCTGTTTTGTTGTGTTTTTTTAAGCAAAGACTGGTTTGCTGCAGGATCGGGACACAGCGATCCACACTCTTTAGCAGGTGCAGCGAAGCAAAGCTGCAGGGGGTTCTGTGTCCCCCCAGTCTGGGAACTCCAGCCTTAGAAGCCGGGGTGGGGGGGTCAGTGGGTTTCCCTCCAGGGACACCCACTGGAGACACGTGCGCAGGTAGTAGCATCCCCGTCGATTCGGAGGTCCGCCCGCACGCGGAGAGGCACGCGGAGACCGGGTCGGGGGGCTGTCCTCAGGCCTGCCTCTGCCCGCAGAGCTGTGGCCGTCTGCCTGAGGGTCATCGCCAACACCCTGGTGCTCGTGTCGCTGGCCGGGAGCATCTATCTCATCTGCTTCGTGGTGGACCGGGCGCAGAAGCTGCAGCAGGCCAAGAAGGAGCTGACGCTCTGGGAAAAGAACGAGGTGGGCGCCTGAAGTCCGCCCGCCCTGCGCCCGCGGCGCTTCTGAGCGGGGCGAGCGGCCGGGTCCACACAAGAAACTGCGGTCCCCCCTGTTCCGGAGCATGGCCGAGGGGTCGCGCGGCGGCCACGCCAGGCACTTCCTCTGGTCTCGAGGGCGATTTCGATTCAGAAACGGCTTCAAGCTTTGGCGCGTTTTTCGCCTTTGAGCCTTTTCGCTCATGCTTTGCAGGTGCTTCCACCGCCCACCCAGGGTCAGGGAGGTAGGGCTAGGAAGACGTAACTGGAAGTCGCAGGAGACATGCGTGTGAATGGCACACGTGGGTGTTGTCCAGTTAAGGAGCATCCCTGCAGGGAGCAGACCTTCGGGAAAGGCCGACCAGCAGAGATTTGGCTGGGGGCGGGGGGGGTGCGTGGTGTGCGTCTCTCGTGAGAACAGCGTGACCCAAGCCCCGGGCCGAGGCCGGTGTGAGTGAGGCCGGGTGTGGCGCCGGGGACCTCACGCGTGGCGTCTCTCGGCAGGTGAGCGTGGTGGTCTCGCTTGTCACCATGCTGGCGCCGTCCGCGCCGGCCCTGGAGCAGTACCACCCCCGAACCACCCTGCGCATCCAGCTGGCCAGGTACTACAGCCCTGCGGGGCATGCCACAGGGGCCTGCTTCTCGACCCCGACGTTAGCGCGCAGCCTCCCCCGTGGAGGCAGCTCATGGGGGCCCGGCCCGGCGTCGGCACCCACGTCTCCTTCGCAGTGCTCCCCTGGGTGGTCTCCCTTCTGCGTGGAATCGACAGGCTTGGGGGAGGCACCCGCTCCTGGTCTGCAGCCCGCCTGGGTCTGGATGGGTCCCGCCCTGCATCCCCCACAGCTGAGCACAGGCTGCAGTGAGGTCCCCCCCTGACCCCTGGGAGGGCCGCTCTCCTCCAGGCGTCCGCAGGCGTTTTCCGTGGGGGACCGAGAGGGACCGCTTTAGGGTTTGCGGGTCACACAGGCTTGGTTGCAGCTGCCACCGGCCTACGACGTGTGATAGAGAGGTGACCTGTGTGTCCTTGCGCTTCATTCACAGAAACAGGGGCGGGCAGGGTTTGCCTTGGAGGCCGGAACTGGCCGCCCGCTCACATCCCACCGTCAAGTCAGGGACCGAAGGACCCGCGGGGAAGGGGGTGGGGGGCGGGGCCCTGGGGAACACCCCCCCCCACCTGTGGGCCGCGCTCACAGCTCCACAGCCCGGCCTCGGCGCTGGGCACTGGCCGCCGGCTCCGCTGCTGAGTCGAGGGGCGGTCCTGTCACTCAGGCCCGCCTCGTCCTCTGCGTTCAGAGCCGGGGAAACGGCCCCAAGAGGCCAGTTAGGGCAGATTGTGGTGAGGGGCGCAGGACGTGCTGTCTCAGGGCCTCTGACTCACGGGCCACGCAGAGGCCGGGCGCCACCCGGACCCGGAGAAGCGGGCGGATTCGGGAATTCTGTGCTTTCATGCAACGCCCCCCAGGGCGGTTCACCAGGAAACGGAGTTCGGCAGCCGCCGTGTGGGCACAACCGCGATAGGCGCCCCTGGACCGCGGCAGGCCTGGCGTGGCTGCAGGGCAGCCGTCCTGTCCCTCAGGTGGGCTTGTGCCTTTCAGGGTCCTGGTGCTGTACCTGGGGAACCTCTACAGCCTCATCATCGCTCTCTTGGACAGAGTCAACAGCATGAGCGCTGAGGTAGCAGCTTCCTGGGCCGCTGCCCGCCAGCCCCTGTCTGTCTGTCTGTCCGTCCGTCTCATGCACGCACAGTGGGGCCGTGGGCGTTGCTGTCGGCCTCACTGTTTACAGTGGTACTCCCACTCGTGGTCTTCTCAAGGTGAAGAGGGAGGAGTTGGCCTATTTCCCGGGGGAGACGCTGAGGCCGGGGTTCGCGGCCAGGGAGCGACCGTGCTGGGTGAGAGCGTGGCCTCCGACCCCAGCCTCCTCCACCTAGACCCTGTTTCAGAGCAATCAGCAGCTGCAGAGGGTGAGCCCAGGCAGGCGGCAGGTGTGAGACCGTTCAGGAAATGGCCCTCTCGTGGGGAAGGGCTCGGAGTGGGCCGCCGTCCCCACACAGTGGAGGCACCCACTCCCAGCCTCGGGGGGCCTCGGCGCTCACTCTGAGCCCGCCCCACCTGTGAGGGCGTCCCGGATGGGACTAGGGGGGGTGGAGGGGGTCTCGTAGGGTTCTTAGTCCACGCCACTCCCCGCTAGCATCCGAGGCGTGTCGAGCAGGAAAGGCCACAGCGAGGGACGCTGTGCATCCAGGCGCCGGCATTGCATGGCTGGGCCCTCACCTGCCTCTTAAGGCAGAGCGGCCGCAAGTGTTCACCCTCACCCGACTGGGTTCAGTCCGCCCATGTGTGCCGTGGGGTCATCATTCTTACCCGACGCTCTGGTGAGGGTGAGAAGATGCAACGTGTGTTAACTAGAACGGTCTCTGGCCCCGACCAGGGGCCAGCAAGTTCTTCCCATGGCAGTCACGTGTTCCGCTGCTGGGGCCAGCTCTCATCAGACGGTCATTTACCGAGCTAGAACTGAAAGAGATGGGGGTGGGGAGGGGGAGAGGGGGAGAGGGCGTTGTGTAAAGGGGGAGGGGAGGAGGGAGGCAGACGGGGCCAGGGAGGCCCTGCCCCAGCCGTGCAGCGCTGTCCTCGCTGTCCTCGCTGTCCTCGCTGTCCTCGCTGTCCTCGCTGTCCTCGCTGTCCACCACGGGCTCTTACAGACACGTGGGCACCGTTTTCAGTCTCTTCCCACCTCTCCCTCCCTCTACAGGAAGCTGCTACCAAAAATGACACAAGTCACTGGGTGGACTCCAGCATCTTCCCTGCCACCAGGACAGCCCCCGAGGAAGAGGGGTGGCCCTTGCCCACGCCCGGGCCTGGAGGCAGCACGTGGGCCCCGGAGGTGGCTAGCGTCCCACCTGACACCCTGCCCCTCCCAGAGGCCAACCAGACCGCGGTCCACAGCCAGAGTCCGCAGAACCAGTGCTGGGAAACCTACGTGGGGCAGGTGGGGCCCACATCCCCTTCTAAAGCCCTCCCACGCTCAGGCCTGAACCGGGCCCCCACCCTAGCCCTGCACTCTGACCCACTCTGCCTGTCACCTCCCACGGTCACCGCGTGTGGAGTCGGGCCCACGGGACTCCCCGCCGGAGCGGGATCGTGGCCTTGGGTGGTCTGCGGCCAGAACCACAGACCCAGGCTCTCCGGGATCCCTGTCATGCCGACCTTGGATTTCAAAAGTCAAACGCACAGACATTTGCTAGGCACCCATGGTTTGCTGGGAGTGAATGAGAGGGGCCCAGCGGCTCCGAGGGGCCCCTGCAGGAGGAGGCGGGTGGCGGGCAGCGGGCGGACAGGGCCCGGGGCACGCTGCGCTGTGTTTCAGGAGATGCTGAAGCTGTCCATCATCGACATGCTCTTCACCGTGGCCAGCGTCCTGCTCATCGACCTCTGCCGCGGCCTCTTCGTGCGCTACCTGGGCGACTACTGCTGCTGGGACCTGGAGAGGAAGTTTGTGAGTGACAGGGGCGGCCGCGAGGCGGGACCCGTCCGCTCCCCACGGCCAGGCGGGGGACACGGACGTCTCCAGCTCATGCTTGCATTTACCGTTCGCTGGGACGGCCACGCGGAAGACGGTCTCCATCACCTGCAAGAGCATGGAGTTCCCTTCACGGGACCGTGGCACGCTGGTTTGTGCCGAGACGGGAGCATCGACTCACGGCTGTCGATTTTCTCTCGTAGCCTGAATATGGGGAATTCAAAATCGCAGAGAACGTGTTACATTTAATCTACAACCAAGGAATGATCTGGTAGGTGCCACCGCTTGTTCTCACCTTCGTTCACGTCTCACGTGGGCAGAGATTTTCACTGACTCAGAATGGGACGGGACCGTCATAAATGCGGTCGTCACAATTAAGAAAGAACACGGTTTTTAATAGAACTGTTTTGCGTGCATGGTGATTTTAGTGATGGTTTTCTAAGCATCTTGCAGAAAGGAATGCTGAGGGAAATAGTCCATTTTCAGGCAAAAAAAAAAACCCCCAAAAACAAAAAACCACAGATGTGTGCTGGAGCCAGCAGAATAAGCGGCTTAGCAGGATTCAGGGAGAAAAAGGAGGCTGCTGACAACCCTGGGTGGCTTCTAGGAGGGACCGAGTCTGGACTGGAGCCTGGCCAGCCCCGCGCTGAGGCCCCTCCCTGCTCCTCCTCCCTCAGCCTCCACGTTTTCACAGAGACACAGCCCAGGGGCACGGCCATCCCCCAGACCAAGGGCTTCACCCCCGGGGGAGGCTGGGAACGTGGAGAGTCTGCTCGCCCGGGGCACCCCCGGCCAAGGCCACCTCTCTGTGAAGAGCCGAGAGGGACCCTGCCATCTCCGTGGACGCACGTCCGTGGGGCACAGCGCACAGCCCCCTACGCGAGCCAGGCCTCCGTCTCCGGCTTTAAAGCTGCTGGACCGCGCGTCTCTGTTTCTTAAAACATAAGCACACAGAACCTCGGCTTTTCCGTGCGTTCAGGTAACACACCCTGTCCTCATAGCCATTCAGCGAAGCGTCTGCAGATCGAGACACAGGAATGATAGACACAGTCGCGTCCTGTGCTCTTGTCGTCCACTCGCTTTGCAAAGTATTGTCACAGATAAGGTATTAAAAGTAATACATCACGTTTGCCAGACGGGGGGCCCTTTTATACCTGCAGTGACTGGCTTGTTCCTTACAGAAGCCCCTCTGAGAGTCGGATTTTCTCCATTTTAAAGATGAGGCACGGAGAAGCTAAGTGTCATGCCTCATGTCACACGGGCAGGAATGTTTTTGCTCACTGTGAGAAACCCCCCTTGTAAAAGGTCTTTCCTTATTACGCATGTGTTTGCACCTGTCCTGTTTTCCCCCACTGAGCC